ACCCCAGTCAGATAATCTTACATATTTAAATAGTTCAACTAGCTTTAGCACAGGCAAAACATAGTTCCAAATTACAGGCAATTCCCTCTTAACTCTTTTTTGTTGTTGTTTGGATACATATTGATTGTTGTAATTTTATACTAATTTGTTGATTTACCTCTATATAGCAGCTATAATGATAGCAATTACAGTTAATGTTTATTAGGCATTTACTGTATCTGGGGCTATTCTAAGCATTTACATATCAATTCATTTAAGTCACAACAACTCTTGAAAGAGGCTCTGTTATACACCTCACTGTACAGATAAGAAAACTGAAACCCAGAGAGGAATTTGACCAAGTTTATTTCGAGAAGAAAGGACAGAGTCAACTATCAGACTCAGGTGATCTGACTCCGAGGTTAAGCACTTAGGCTACAGGCAATATGAAAGCACATGCAGGCAGATTCCATGCCTGTTTTACTGATCACTTCATCGCCACAACTTTGTACAGTACCTGGCGTGGAGAAGGGGCCTGACAAAAAGGAAGGAAGGAGGGAGAGGAAATGGTGGAAGGCTTAGGAAGAGGATATGCTGCCAGCATCATCGTGGCCCTCTCTCTCCTGGGTGAAGTAAGGCTAGGATCCATGGAGCAGTCCCTGCCTCACTCAGGAGCAAGAGAGATGCAGGACATAGCACTGAATTGCACACTGTCCCTGTCCCTTCACCTCATGAAGACACATGTGCTTCTGATCCCTTCAGATGAGCCCTGCTGGTGGGTCTCATGCCTACAAAAAAAAAAAAAAAAAGAGTTCAACTATAATGCCACCATTCCACTCTGGGCCCCTGTGCTGGAACCTCAGAGTGTAGCCATGAATATGAAAGAGCCCTCTCTCAAGGGGCTCACAGACTAATGAGGACTATAGAAACCTTGAAACCAAAGAAGGGAAGGGGCAGTAGCAAATTCATACTATGCAGTAAGCCTGACCAGGCTAGGAAAGCAGGGAGGGACAGAAGGAGAGGCTCATCTCTCTTCCTGAATTCTCCCTCCAGGAGGCACTGCTCATTCTGCCCACGAAGCTTGGGATTTAGCTGAGAACTACAACCTGTCATCTGCCTAAGTGTGCTAGTCTGTTGTAACACAACACTGGAACACAAGGGAAGACTGAGAACCAGCAAGAGTAGTATAGCAAGAAAGATGCTTGATTTTTCCCAGGATGTTGAAGATTTGTTCCTTCCAGGAAAAGCAGCTGAGCAGAAAGTACACTAACACAGTTGAATGCAGATGCCACAGAGGAATGTAGAGTAGCAGAAGTACTAGCATATAATCCCCTTCTTCCCTCCATCTTCGCCTCCATAATGCAGCAGCCTCATACCTTCCTTATGCCTCCCGTCGAGAGATCTTCACCAGTTTTAAGGTAAAGTCTTACATTTGCTATAGCATGTATGTATGTGTGTACCTACTTATTTAAAATTTAACAGGTCTTAGGACCAGCAGGTGGCATGGTGGTTGAGGACACTGGACACCCACATGGCCAACCGCAGTTTGAGTCACAAACTTGGCAGCTTGCCCTCTCTCTCACATACACACACACTCTTCCCCTCTCTGGTCAAAATAAAATAAATGTATAAAGTTAAATAAAATATTTTTTTTAGAAAAATATTAACAGGTCTTTTTAGCTCTATTACTTTTATGAGTCTATTAAGAATTTTATTTTAGCACTGTGGTCACAATCTTATACAGGGTTTCATGGTCTACCCAACCATATTTTTATAGTCCTATTGTCTTAAATATACAATTCTGCACAACATGAACTATTTCCAGAACATACATGTGATGTGATAACAGAAGTGCCTGTGTCAGATCACCAAAGACTTTCACATAAGCTATCATTCCTTACATCCATTTTTTTGAACAAACTGTCAATCACCACATTCGTTTTTCAGATGAGAAGATAGGATCAGAGATGTTACATGACCTGCACAGAAGAAATGAATGAGGACTTGAATTCAAGTTTTCAATGCCAAGTCCGTTTATGCAGTCTTCATTTTACCCACAGCACTTAACACAGGTCCTAGGACAAGGTAAACAACCAATCAGTAAGTTATTCTGGGAAGAATTAATACTGACACTTTCTAATAATGTAGTTCATGAACGCCATTTGGGGCCAGTCTTATAGCACACTGCTTAAGTCATGCGCATTGAAAGCCAAATCCCACATGGACAGCTGCTATTCAAATCCCAGCTGTGGTGACTTGAAAAACACACTGGGTATATGTACATACATGCCTTCAATCCTAAGAAGAATGAGAAATGGAGAAAGGAGGATTATGATGTGACCACACCCATGGAGGGGGTGCATTCTTTCCCTGTCTGTTTCTCTCTCTCTGGTAAGTGGATATGTCCCCTTGGCAATTAAGAAAAATAAATGTCATTTGAGAAAAAAAAATAGTAAGGAAAGGAAGACAATATCTAAATGTTTTGAGCTCCTACTATGCACCAGGAGGAATAGAAGGTTTTTTGAAAACACAAATGCACACATACAAGATGTGAGGTAGCTTTTATTATTCCATTTTACAGATGAGAAACTGGTGCAGAGCCATTTGGAAAAACAGCTGAAGATTATACTACTGGGAAGGGAATAAGTTGAGATATGGACCCAAGTCTTCCTAATTCCCAAGCCCATATTTTCTACTGTAGTGGAGACTATCTACCACTTAAAGAATAAAAGACAACTTTCAGTGTAGCATTGATACATCTATTTAATATAATGGGTTGTGTTTATACTCACAGCCGTCTAATGTTGATAGCAATTAATACTTGTTACCCATTTACAATAGTATCTGATACAATCCACTTCAATAATATCTATTTAAATCTCCTACAGAAACATCTTTGAGCTTTAGAAAAGTAAATCCATTTAAAGAAAAATACTAAATTGATTTTAAACATGCAGGCAGATATACCAAAATAGAAAAAGTGATGGGTAAATGATGGAAACTTGAGAAACATGACTCTAACAAATTCTTTAATAAAACTGTGTGAGATCAATTCTTTTTTTGTTTTTGAGGAATGTTTGCTATAGGGCACATGCACTTGCCAGAAAGACAGAGAGAGAGAGAGAGAGAGAGAGAGAGAGACAGAAAGTGAGCGATCACTCACCCCCCTCCCCCCCCCCCCGGGGGGGGGGCGCCCCCCGCAACCCCCTCCCCCCCCTTCCCCCC